CTCAAGCTTTATTGATGGCGTGTAGGTGGATATATCATAATATGGTTCGAGGTACAAATCATGCCTAAATTGTGGTCATGGTTTCTTATACTTAGATATTACTTCATGTCACAGATATTTTTATCAACTTTTTCGTTAATGATATTTTCATTCTTTTGTTTGACAGAGAGAGCTGAAATTTTTATGACATATATTACCAATCAAGATCTTTTAGTTCTGAAAGTTTCATCTCTATAACTATGACTAATGGTAAAATACATAAGTTTTCGTACTTAATTTTTGCTGAAAAATGAAACAAGAATCGAGTACGAAAACTTTTGTATTTCACTTTGATCGATGTATTTTATCATTAGTCATAGCTGTAGAGCCGAAACTTTCAGAACTAAACGATCTTGATTAGTTATATATGTCACAAAAATGTCAGCTCTCTCGGTCAAACAAAAGTATGGAAAATGTCATTAACGCTGTATTCTCAGTTATTATGAAACACCCTTTATGCCTCAGTAGCACATCTTCAGAAAAAAAGACCAATGTACACATTTCGGCAAAAGAAACTATGCTAGGTTGTAGTTCATTACAAGAGCTATCAGAATATGTATAAATCTCAAAATTGAGTTTTTTTTCGAAAAATTGACTTTTCTGAGGGGAGGGGAGGGGAGGGGAGGTGCTTAAATTACTCTAAAATAAGTGTAAATCACATAAATCATCCAAAACAATTTAAAACCACCCAGAATCCTCCGAATCCTATGAGGAATGTAAAGCTATTTTCGCCGAATTTTATTTTACTTTAAATGATTTTGAATGACTTTCGGTAAGTTACTGATTCTAGGCGCTTTTAGTGTAATCGTTGGCTAGATGTACAGCAACTATATATGCCTGATTTAAAAGTAGTACTTAGGTAGATTAAGAAGTGTTTGTGTACAGCTTACCTAATTGTTGAGTTGTGATCGCAGCTGTTGTTAATGGTGTTGTTGCCGTTCGTGATGATGACACTGTCATTGATGATGATAACGCCGCCATGGTGATATCTCGTTCCTTTGGTGCAAGTATGACGAATTTTAATATCAGAGAGAGTATAACTGCAACTATTGCTACAATGATAAAGCAGATGCAAATGATCTTAAACCAACGATGGTGCCACCATTTGCATGGTCCATTATTTCCATTGACTAACTGACGGGACATCAAGTTCTTGCGTATATTATGTTCTTCAAGAAACTTAAACTGAAAAATGAACGAGGAGGTGGGTGAAAAAAGCACTCACATACACAACCACACTTATATTTTCGCCAATAGAGAGAAGTCTGTCAAGAATGCCAGAGTGCATCAATAGAAGGGAAACAGAAATTTGTTAAAATTTCAATGAATGTACTAGTAAATAGAGGCAGCCTATAAACATAGAAAAGATGATGGGAAAACTAGTCCACTTACAAAAAAAATAATCAATAACACAGATGTACATGAATGGGAAACAAGTAGAAATAATGACATCATTTAGTTATTTAGAATTTGTGTAAACGGAATAATTGTCTCTCGGACCGACTGTCAAACATTGTAAAGATATGATTTAAAGTTCATATACTTAATTAAGATGGTTGAAGAGAAATAGAATGGTTTCGACTGACATATTGAAATTATGTTTCTTTGCCTATAGCTTGCTCGTCTTTGTGTGGATTTTTCGCTCTTTTCTCTACTGCACAACTCTCACCAAATGTTTCTAGAACGTAAGTTCAGAATAAGGTTAAGGATACCACATAGATGTACCACTATAACGGCACCTGCATAAATGAATAGAATATCTCGTTTCGATCTAGCCAAGTCGTTATTTTATCATGATCTTTTCTATTGTGATGTCTTTACGAATAAAGAAGAGAAACAGTAAAGAAATTATGATGCACAATGGTTGAATTTAAGGTATTCCTCTAAGTTACACAGAGTGAGAACAATAATTGATAGGCATGAATCAATTCTAATCCGCTGGTTTTAATTCATCGAAAATTATTTCTAATAAGAAAAGATATGAGATTAGTGCGTGAGTTCTACTCAGCTTTGTAACAACACTACCTTCTCGCTCAATCTTAATATCGTTTATGGCTTATGTTTCATAGATTCTGTGCCATTTATGTTGAATAGAAAAAAACAAGTTAGCATATGGTCTGCCTTTTATCTACTTCCTTACTTTTCCTGCTGTTCTATTAATCTTTTAAATTTGTTTTTCTTACTGATATTATACCATTTTTCCTTTCTCATTTCTCTTACTCTCTGTTATCATGTGCTTTTAAGCGTCAATAGACGTTATTAAATAAGGTTTACTTAAAAAAAGCCTATTGTTTTTTGATCGTATCACGTACAAATGCCTCGTGGATGTGATGTTTGATAGATCTCAATTCTGACTAGCGAATCGTTGAAAATGGTTTAAGACAAGCTGCTGCAACACAAGTGTACTTCAAATTTGTTTTTGTTTTATTTGTTTTTATTGTTTTAGTTCGTGAAGAATATATCTCAAATGGAAATAGGGATGCAACGGTGATGGTGCACCGTCCACCGGCCCACCGTAGTACCGATCTGTGTGTGGGTATGGATGAGGGAGGCTGTGGGTATGGGTGTGGGTGGGGGTGGGTATGGGGTGTGGGTGTGGGTGTGAGTGGGTGTGGGGTGTGTGGGTGTGGGTTGGTGTGGGTGTGGGTGTGAGTGTCAGAGTAGGGAAGATCCACACCCACACCCTCAACAATGAATTGAAATATGTAAAGAATATATTGTTGGTTTACAAATGTCAATGACAAAAACGAAGATTTAGCGAAAGATGATAAAAAACGTTGATATGAATTAGTTGCTTATTTTATTTATTGACAATTACAATCAATACACAAAATCATGAAATTAAAATCTGCAGTTAATCAAGCATTTAAATTAAAAAATTATAAAACTGCAACAAGCTTTGCCGAACGTTTATTGGAATTGGAACCAGTACTTGATGTTGCTCAATAGGGTTTTTTGTTTTAATATTAATATTTCATTTTCAAATCAAGCATTCTCATTCTTTGTCGACTTCAACTTTGAAAGGCTTTAAAATGAACCAAAAAACAAGAAAGAAAACATATCTTTAATCCACTCAAGATATGTCATATCTTGTGATCGAAGTTGTTCATGTTTTGTTTTGATTTATTTGAAACAAATGAGTTTATTGTTTGTTAAATGAAACATAATTTTAGTTCAATTACTTTAGAAGACGAACAAAAAACAATAAAAACTTATTTTTTTTATTATTTTGTTTAGACACGAAGAGTATTAAGTGTTTGTGAAAAAAATCCAATTGATGAACATCCATTAAATTATGATGGCTATAATCTATTTAATATTTGTGCAGCATCCTATGTACCACATTTATCGGTATGAAATTTGAAAATGAAACCGAATTTAATTTAAAGTAATCTTTAATTCTTGTTTAGTGAAAATCCATTATCCGGTGCGGCCCATTTACCGGAAGTTATAGGACAGTTATGTCGTCTTATAAAAGCTACTGAAATCGAAAAAGAATCTCTTGGTCTTAGGATTTCAATGAGCCAATTTTGTTAGAATAAAAAAAACTGTTTGTTTAATTCTATTTCATTATTATTAACTTTTAATGTATATGTTGATCATTTTAAAAAAGTAACTTACCATTAGAATATTTTTCTTTTATTTCAAGATAAAGAAATCCGTTTCTAAAACGAGAATTTAGAATCAATACATTTGTTTGAAATAAGTTAACTTCAGTAGACATTGAAATTCTATGGTAATATACAAAAATAAATAATCTCGGTTTATAAAACGACATCAATGCAACTGGGAGTACTTTGTAATTGTTTAAGAAATTTTATCGACATGATTTCATTTGATATTCAACCTTTGCAATATCTTGATTGGCTCATTCAATTGGTAACTTACACGCATCTATTCAATATTCATACCGCCAGCCTTTTCTTGATCACGTTTAACTATATAATTAAGTCATTAATAAAACTAAAAGATAATTAAATATCTAAAGATATACTTTTTTTATAGATTTCTTCATATTTAAATAAAAATAAAAATGAACAATGAGAAATAAATTTTCATTCTAAAAACAAAAATGGAAGATGATATGATGATGATGAATTTCTATTCAATGGTTTATTTTTCCCAATTGAAAAAATCTTTGTTGATTTCGATTGGCTTTTCTTCTGTTTCTCAACTACAGTTTCAAAGTAAAAACAGAACAAAAACCTATTTTAAAAACAAATTTTCGTGATGAAAATCTTGATTCTGCTATAGAAAAACATTATCTTAATGGAGCATTTTCAAGTACTTTTCAAGTTCATCAATAATAACAACAATGAAACGAGAAACAACACCATCGGAAAGGTGCGTTATTGAAAGACAAATACAGTAATCATAAAATCAAAATGAAAAATAACAAAACTGAAACAATAAGTAAAATATGTGGAGATAAACATCACACAACAGTAAAACAAGATGATAAAATAATTCGAGAATATGGAAATGCAACAATAGATGAATTCGGTCAAATTGATTCATCATCGAATGATACTAATGATCAACCAATTATTGGCAGGAAAAGACATTCGGATTTTTTTAAAAAAACGTTTTTCTTAAATAAAAGTGTTTTGTTGAAATGATCTACTAAAAATAAACGAAAGAAAATATCATTCGAGTTTGTTTTTTGTGTACTCAAAAAGTGAGTACACTCTAGAGTCGGTCGGTGTGTCCGGCCGTCCGGCCGTCTACACGATAACTTTTGAAAGGAGAGTCCGATTGCGATACAATTTTCTAGACAGTTCAGTCTTAACAATATCTCGGTAGAGTTCGAAGATGAGCATGATTGGCCGAGGCATTCCTGAGTTATTGCAAAAATAGTCATTTTTCCCTACGGCTTCCTATAGGAAAATCGACCTATTCCCACTTTCCTAAAAACCTTTTACTATCATAATCAAATAAAACTCCAACTATTATAAACTATTCGATAGAGAATTTCACGAGCTACAAAATGGTATATGAAGCATAAAGAAACGCGAAGGCTAACTCACCTATTGTCAAGATAATCAGACGAGAATAGGTTCTGTTTTCGTCCACGCTCCAGTTGATCCGAAAATGGAGCTCTACCTTCCGATCATGGACATGATACTTCGAGGTTTTTTGGGGCGGACAACTCGTATCTGTCATCCATTTGCGTTGATATACCATTGGTTGAGCAGAGACCAATAGAAATCAAGTTATAGGAAAAACGACTTTCTTAGGGTAAATCAAGGCGAAGAGGTCAAATCTCAGCTGTATTCATCCCCAAATCCTATTGGTTGAGAGTAGCCAATAGAAATCAAGTATTTTATAGAAAAGGCTTGCCAGGATAATTTTGATGTCCACACATTCTAGGATGACTCATCTGTCTCATTCACTTTTTGAAGTACACATAACTCTCGGATTTAAATCCGAGGTTTCCGCATTTATTTTTATTTTGAAAAAAAAACATGTAGTTGTCTCGCTGTTTTTTACTTAATATATTTTATTTTTCCGCTTTGTCAAGACTAAATCGCTTTTCCGATTGAAAATAAACTTGTCGATAATAGCATCATTTTTCTCAACAACGACAGAGAAAAAAAGAAAAAATATATATCAATTCAGGTCGGATGAACATCCAACAGCTTATAAACAACTAGACGCAAACTTCTTTTCTCTAATCTTCATTTACAACTAACTCACAAATTATAATATCAATTTAATCTTGTTATTGGTTTCTTAGAAAAAAATCTACAAATATTTCAATATCAGTCTTCACCATAAAGTAAATTATTTAGATACGTTGGATAATATATTAGTATCATTCGTGGAGGAAGGAACGTTTTTTTTCTTGATATTCTCATTAGTCATTGAGTAACACTATAGCACATAAACGGATGCGAAGAAAGCATTGTGAAAATCATTCCCTCTTTTTACATCGTGAAGTATAGCCGCATTTTTTCTTTGTATTCATCGAATTTATTTCGATTAACGTTATTCTCTCTTCATTGGCAAGGGAAGAGAAATGACAGAAGGTATAATTAATTATTCGATTAATGAGCAATATATGCCGCAACAGCATCAAAACCAAAACAACAACAACAACAACAACACGAATGAACAAGTAGAATGGATTTTAAAATTTTTATCAGAAAGTCCTGAAGCAGCATCAAACGT